TGCCTGCGCTGCACGGCCCCCCCTCTGGCTGCTGCAAAACACGCAAGGCGTGGCCACCTACAGACGACCCTCAGGGGTCCTCCCAGCCCAGGCTGAGCCCCGGGTGTCAGCAGGTGCCCGGAAAGTCCTCCGGCCGCTCCTCAGAGCCCAGGGGACGGGAGCCCCGGGGAAGAAGCAACCGGACCCGCACACACGGGCCCCTGCTGGCCCCTCCTTGGCCGGGCTCCCAGATCCTGGCTCTGTCCCCCTCTGTCAAACCCCCTCCTGGCCCGGCTCCCCACGGCCACGGCTGCGCACAGCCGCACCCCGCTGTCCAGTCCTCGTCACGGCAGCGCGGGGTGGCACATCCCTGCACAAGTGCACAGAGCACCGAGCTCACACCTGGGGTCACCCTGGGCGAGCAGGCGGAGCGAGGGTGGGACCCCAGCAGGCGCACCGAGGGAGGCCCCTGCTCAGAGCTCCCGGAGCCTTGGTTTGCGGTTGACGCGTCCTGCACCTGTTAACCCGAAGATCCCGGCCGGCCGGGCCACAGTGGCACCGTCCGGAGGACATCGGAAGCCCTGCCCTGGCCAGCGGGACCTGGAGCAGGTCTCGCTGCCCTAACCCCAGCCCCTGCCTGAGCCCCGGGGGCCCCGAGGGTCACGGCCGCCCCCGCCACATCGCTGGTCCCCAGCCCGGATCAGCGGGGGTCAGAGCCGGGCGCTCACCGGTGGGACCCGCCCGGGCGGGGGGACCCCGCTGGGCCGCCTGCTGACTCTGCTACTGCGGGCGGGTTCTGGGTTTGCGCTTCCCGAAAGCAGGGATAGGAAGACGCCGAGTCCCACGTGGCTGTGGGCACTGGGGACGCTGTCAGGCGTCTGACACCGGCTCCCGGACGGTGAGCCCTCCCCTGGCGTCGGCCGTCCTTCCAGCCGGGCTCGGACGCCCTGATCCGGCACTCGCTCCCCACGCCGCCCGGGGGCCGGAGCCCGGCCCGGGGCCGGAAGGCCGTGCTGCGCACACGCTCTCTCTGGTCCCCGCTCTGCCGCTCAGCAGCCCTGTAGCCTGGACGAGTCAGCCCCCCACGCCACTCCCTCGGGGTGAAAGGTCACGACCCGTGGTTCACTTCCTGAAGAGACGCTGCCCCAGCACCTGGAGTGCCTGAAAGGACCCCTAAGACCCCGACGAGGACAGAGACACAGGGTCACGTTGAGGTCGCACGGGAGTGGCCAGACCAAGGAAGGTGAGGCTCAGTCCCGCCCCCAGAGCTGTCCCCTCCCCCCAACACCCCCGGGGCACCCGCTACCATCCAAAGTCAGCCCGAACCTCTGATGGACACTCCCTGGGCTTAACCTCCCACGGGCTCCCTCCATCGCCTCACACCAGGGTCAGGGCCTCAGCACGGGTGTCGGGGACACAGGGACACCCCGTCCACGACCGGCGCTCGCAGCCTCGCCAGCTCCCCCCGGCACCACGGGCCACGGTAGTCAGCGTCAAACATCACACATCCCAGGGGGCCAGCACGGGCCACGCAGGGCCTACTGTGCGCCACAGCCTCTCTGGGTCCCGTCACCAACAGTCCCAGTGTCCTCGCCAGGACGCACAGGTGTCCTCGGCCCCAGGTTGCCGACAAGCTCAGGGAGCCGTGGCTGAGCGGGAGTGACGCTCCCACAATGCTCAGGGCGGGGGGCACCCCGAAGCCAGGCCCCTCCGTGGGGACCGCCCGCCTCCCCGGCACCGACGGCCACGCACACTCCTCACGCGGGAGGTTTTCAGACCCGACTCCCGAACATACGTGTCGCTGGCCGGGGCACCGGGCTCTGAAACGCTTTATCGCAGATCTGGGACTTGCCTCTCGATTGCACCACGGACGCCTGAAACGTGAAAAATCTCCGTTCCACGGCCGGTTACACGACATGGTTCGTCTACAACGGTAACATAAGGACACTGTCAGGGACTGTTTCCCGCTGGTTGTGTGTTCAGTGTCTTAAGAGACGACGTCTGAACGCATTCGAATCTCGAGGTCACCGCCACATTACTAAACGGTGGGTAGGCACGGCCCCACACGGCCTCTTAAAACCTCTTTACTCAGAGGGGCAGATACTATTAGCAGATATTATCATGAGACGTATATCGTTAAAAGGCCCACGTTCGAATCAGATCGTCCTTCTTCATTTAATTATTTAACCAGCTTTGCAGTCATTACAACCCCTTTCAAGAGAAAAATTGCATTATCAATATATTCCCCATCATGTCTTCCTGGGAGCCCACAATCATCCGCAGGGAGGTCCGTGTTCTGAGTGAGGTCCTGGGTGCTGCGTGATTCATCCTCTGCATCCGAGAGCCTCCGTCTCTGAAAGGGGTTTTATAGCCGTTTGGGAAGACTGTATTCTCTTTAGCTCTTGGCCACAGGGCTCTGGTTCGGCAGAATAATATGTATATTTTATTTTTTATTAAAGCTTTTATTTATTTTTAGAGAGAGGGGGAGGGAGGGAGAAAGAGGAGGAGAGAAATATCAGTGTGTGGTTGCCTCCCATGCGCCCCCTACTGGAAACCTGGCCCACAACCCAGGCAAGTGTCCTGACTGGGAATCGAACCGGCGACCCTCTCATTCGCAGGCTGGTGCTCAACCCACTGAGCCACACCAGCCAGGGTGACCACGTTCACATATTTAAGGTAGGCCAATGTTCCTGTGCACGTTTCTTCTGTGCGGGAGCCCAAGCAGGCGTTTGTCCCTGTGCCCCCACCAGGGCGTGAGTGTGGCTGGCCGATCATTTCGAAGGATGCAGGGAAAGTGGAAAAGGTCAGGGTGACGGCGCTGGGATGATGAGGCCATCAACGCGACGAGCCTTCGATTGCTCTCGAACGAACAAAGTCAGTAAACCCCAGCCTAGAATCTCCGGGTGCCCAGGCTCTAAGGAGGGAGCCGCAGGGAGATGAGGGCATGCCTTTCTGACCCTTTGGCCACAGCGAGAGTTTCGCAGAAATCTTGCCTTTCCTCCCCACGTGGCTGCCTCAAGGGAGGGCTTGCACGCCCCGGCTGGAGCCGACTCTGTGGGCTCGTTATCACGCTCCCGTGGCCCAGAGGCTCACTACGTACTTGACGAACTGGAAGAAAAAGCAGGGTGTTTTTCAAATACAGTGTGGTGTGCAAGGACGAGGTTCGCAGGGACAGGTGAGCGGGAGTTCTCACTTGGCAAAGTTCAAGAAGCAACAGACTAGTCCTGGCCAGGTGGCTCAGTTGGTTGGAGCCTCGTCCTGTATGCCAAAAGGTTACAGGTTCAAATCCCAGTCAGAGCACATGCCTAGGATGTGGGTTCAGTCCCTGGACACCAATAAACATATCCTCGGGTGAGAATTAAAAAAAAAGAAGAAGAAGAAAGATGAAGAAGCAAGAGATTAAACAAACCACAGGAAGATTATATACACGTAAATCCACGAAACCAGATTGCTAATGAACACCACCAAAACACTCAGATTACAAATTCTCGTAAGTAGGGATTTGGTTAGGGAACCAGAGGGGAGGAGCACACACATTCCCAAGGACCAGACCCCAGGGGCGGCCAGCAGCTGGTCCAGCGGGGTGGTCCTGTTCTAACGAAGCATCGCTCGCCGTTCCGTCATGGAGAAGACAACCGCTCTGTCCTAGAAGACGGGCGGGCTCCTGGCACTGGGGGCCAATGCAATCTCACCTCCAGCCTCCCAGACGTGTGGCCCTCTCCCGCCTTCCTGGCTGCCTTAAAAGTAAGAGGGGACACAGAGAGAGGGGCATCTGCCTTCCCGCTCTCCGCCGGGTCCACCGGCACGTCAGAAACGAGCTGGGCGTTCTGTGACGGAGGAGACAGGACAGCTTCCAGAACTGTCTTTTTTTTTTTTTATTTACTGATTTTTAAAGAGAGAGAGAGAAAGGCACACAGAGAGAGAGAGGTTGATTTATTGTTCCACTGATTGATGCACTCATTGATTGCTTCTTATATGTGCCCTGACCAGGAATCGAACACACAACCTTGGTATATCAGGACAATGCTCTAACCAGCTGAGCTACCTGGCCAGGGCCAGCTTCCAGAACTCTCTGTGCAGTTTCACCTGTGAGGGGGCCGGGCCGTGGGAGGTGGTCCCCCTCAGCACAGACGCCAAGGCCACCGGCCCGTGATCACTGCCCCTGAATAAACCTCCCAGCTCGTTCTGCAACAACCAGAAATCTAAATGAGCACGGGTCCACAGGGAGCTTCCGGATGGAGCCACTGGACTGTTTCGTGGTCCCGTGGGTTTTCACACGACTCGGGGCTTGGAGTCCTAGACGCTCGAGATGAGTTCCCAGCACAGCTCCGAGTCCCTGGCTCTCTCTCGAAGCCCCCAAGCTGGGCTGGGGAGGCCTGGTGGCCTTGGGCGAAAGGCAAGGTCACGCCAGGCTGGCTTCATGTGCGGGTAGCTGTTTACACAGGACCGCGGCGACGGATGAAAAATGACTTTCCGATCTCACAAAATAAATCAGGGCCGGCGAGGGATTCCACTTAATAGTTAACTGTAGCCGGTAAAATATTACACCTGTTATTATCCAGGGCAAACAGAGCTCCTTCCATTTGTTTATTGAGGAAACCATTTATTTGAGGACATTTAATTGCAACAGTGGAGGCTGGCTTGGGGGTTAATCCCGGATTATCGACGCAATTAAAAGCGGGGCGCTGGGCGAGTCCTGTTCATTATCTACGGGGACGGTGTTGACACAGTCCCGGGGCGGGACCGCACCCGAGCGGTCTGCACGCCGTGTCCGAGTTTGCATAATCTAATTGAGGCAAGGCTTCTAATTTGATTTTACTCGGAGCAATATGGGTTCAAATTGCCGTATAGATCCAGCACTGTTTGGCTTCTCGTCAATGATTCACGGCGCGGTAAGGTCCACCAGGCGAACGTGGCCGCTCCTCCTCCTGCCTGGGGCAGCATTCCACAATTCCTGGGGGCCCCCGCCTCCCCGCCCCCACCCCCTGCTGCTGGACACCCGGCCCCCTCCCCCTCTCAGGTTTCACTAGCTCTTGTCTAAGTCCGTTCCTCTGTGCCCGCCCCTCTCACCGCAGTGGGGGGGGGGAACGACCTCCCCCCAGCTTGGAGGGGCCCTGGAGGGGGGATGCCCGAGTGGGGAACAGACAGGCTGCAGCCCACAGCTGCCCGCCCCCACTTGGGGTCCACCTGAGGCGTGGCCAGAGGAGGACTTCGAAGATCTTGCTGCACCTGTCTTTTCCCCGCGGTTGGCTATGATTTTCTTCTGGTCTTATGTGCGTAGTTTTTATTTTGGCGTTTTAAATGTTGTCTTTAATTGTCTTTATGATTAACATATGAAGTCTGTCCAGAAGGCATCTAGCCATGTACTCTGAAAAACAGAGACGTTTATTGAAAAAGATACAAGACACAAGAAACATTGCACACAGGACAATGATGTTTCAGTCCCCTTCACAGCAGGCACCTTGGGACCTCACACGGTTCTCCTCGTCACCATCAGCTGCCTAGTTGCATGTTCCTGAACCTCATCGATGGTCTGAAATCACTCCCCTTTCACAGGTGACTTTAGTTTGGGGAAAAGCCAGAAGTCACAGGGCACCAAATCTGGGCTGTAGTGGGGCTGAGTCACCTGGGTGATCGGCTGTTTCTCCAAAACACTGTGCACGAGACGTGGTGCATGAGCAGGTGCATTGTTGTGAGGAAGCTGCCGGTCACCAGTCGTCCACAGCTGCAGCCTCTGAATCATGAAAATAGTTTCTGCGGAGGAAGGTTCAAGTTTAACACAAAACTGGATGCAGATTCGCTGCTCTGCTCGCTCACTCATTTTGAATGTGACAGCCACACAGTGCACACACGCTCACTCAACAGTGTCTACCGCCCCCACTGACGAGTACAGTGAAGTCGTCATTGTTCACACATGCGCATTCCAGTCCATGCTCCTCGGCTGCCAGCTCACATGCGATGTGGCGCAAACCGTTCTCGTCATATGGACGATGGGCTGCACACCCGACCCCCACGGAGAGCCGCCTCGCCCTCCTCCCCGCGCCCGAGCGTGCGTGGTCCGACCACGCGCTCCGCTCCACGTGGGCCTGCCCTCACCCCGAAGGAGTTCAGACCCAGGAGCACTGAGCGGCCCTCTAAGTAATTCCCTTTCCCTTCCCGACGGTGCCAAGCGGCTCAGTGGGTGCGTGCTGACTCGGACCCCGAGAGACAGCCTGCTCGGGACCAAGAGACCAGAGGGTGTGCATCTGAGCAGAGGAGGGACGCCGGGTTCTCCTCGCCAGCCCCAGGTGGCGCGCTCCCACGCCGTGTTTCAGGGGCCCGTCACCGCTCACGCGTCTGGCCGACGGCCCACCGCGCGAGGCCGTGGGGCCGTGGCCGGGCTGTCTCCGGCCGGCGCTCCGAGCGCACGCAGACTGCACATTGGAGGTGGAAAGGAAGCCCTCCCATGTCCCCGCAGGCAGAGCCCTGGCCGCAGGGGGCGCACTGCCCAGGACCCTCCCCATCGCCTGCCTCCAGACAGCCCTGGCCCGGCCAGAGAGAACAGGTGCGCCCGATGGGTTGGACCCCGCAGGGGGGCTCGGGCGAGGAAGGAGCCAGCCTGTCCTTTACACCCGCCCCCCCCCCCAAGGGTTATGGTCAGTCTCAGAGACTTGTGTGTTATTATTATTATTATTACTTTAATCTTCACCCGAGGTTATGTTTATTGCTGAGAGAGAGAGAGAGAGAGACAGAGAGAAACATCGATCGGTTGCCTCCTGCAGGAGCCGCAACCTAGGGTCACACCCACACCCTAGGTATGTGCCCTGACCGGGGATCGAACCACAGCCTCTCTGTGCAGGTACGACACTCCCGCCCACTGCGCCACCCGGCCAGGGCCGGCTGGATGTTTAGGAGGGCGGCATCACCAGCGCACTTGGTCGCCCCTCCGGCCGCCGGCACAGGTGCAGAGGGAAGGGGCTGCCCACTTCATCGGCCTGAGATCCTCTCCGCTCGAATCTGCCGTTGCACGGACACCCCACCTACCCAGCTGCCGGCTCTCCCCGGAGCAGGTGTCGCGCAGGTGTTCTCTGCGCAGAAGCCGTTTACACAGGCGCCCTGGCTGGGAGCCCGCCCGCAGGCTCTCCCCGGGCCCTGGGCAAGGCCCTCCCTCGCTCCCCCAGCTTCCCACGGCCTCGAGGGTCCGGACTTCGAATGCTAACGCTTCCCGGTCCTCCCCAAGCCAGCCTCGGGCCCGCATCAGCGAGGGGACGGGCGGGCGAGGAGGTGGAGGAGAGGGCGCCGGGTTTCTGGGGGAGGGGGCGCCGCGCTCGGGTCCTCAGCCGTCCCTGTTGCCGGGGGGGGGGCTTTCCCACCGGGGAGACGGGGGGAGGGAAGGGTCAGCGACGCGGAGACGCGCAGAAGGGGTTTGCCCCTTCGGTTCCTGGGAGGGGGGAGCTCCGGGGACGCTGGGCGGGAGGGAGGCCTGCTCGGTTCTGGAACAGCCACCCGTAGGCCCGGTGGGTGGCCCGAGGGGCGGGCGGGGCGCAAGGAGGGCGCCGCTCAGGCCTCCAGACGCAGGGAAGGGTCAGAAGCGAATCACCCGTCAGGTTCTGACCGTCCACCTGCCACCTCGGCCAGCGGGGCCCATGAGCCGGACGGAGGAGCAGGGACCGGGGGCGGGGACCCCGCCCCCATCCCCACCTCCTCCGCCCCAACCCGTTGCTCCGCAGGTGGAGGGGGGCTGGGGCTGGGGCAGGGGCGGGGCCAGAACAGGCTGGGGGCGGGGCGAGCAGGGGGTGGGGCCCGCTGGCGGGGTGGGGGGGGCGGGGCAGGCTCCCTCAAGAGGGTGGGGGCGCTGGCCCAAAGCAGCAGCCCCACAAGTCTTCCGGGAAGGGATTAGTTAACGGGCCCATTAATCAAGGAAAACAGGGTCCAGCCCCGGGTTAAGCTGGACTCCGGGCCCGAGGTTATGGGGAAACCGGTGTCCACCCCGCGGCCCCCAAAGCGCAGGGGGAGGGGGGGCACTGGGGGGAAGCCACCGTCCTGAGACGTGACTGAACGGCGGCGAAGGGGCGAGGCCGGGGGCAGGCGAGTGGACAGGCGCTGCGGACGGCCCTCCCTCCCCTGCGCCCCCTGGGCCCCTGCGCCCCACCTGACGGGGGACAGTGATGCCCAGCTGGAAACCTGAGGGTCCCACCCCCTGGCCTCCGGGGCAGCACCTCGCGGGGCTCCTCAGAGGGGCCTCCTGACCCAGAGCCCCCGGCGGGGGCCCGACCTCACACAGAAGGAAGCTCTATAAACACAGGCCGGGCCGGTGGGAGGGACGCGCGGACTGGGCCCCGGTGGCGCCCCCGCGCGCACCCGAGGGGCGGCCGGCGCGCATCCCGCCCGAAGTTGAAGACGGATGAGAACCAGTAGTTAAAACCCACATTATACAGTTCTGTCGGGTATAAAATTGCATGTGCTGACCCATATATTCTATCTGGAAACGGACTGGAGTCACTTAAAATATGGCAACGTCGATGGGACTAATTAATTGGAAATAAGAAACGAAAGAATACAATTAAACGAGAACAGAATCATTTTCTAATTTAATAGAGGGACATTTATAAAGATCACAAGCTAAAAGGCATCGAATGATTCTATCGACATGCTATTAAATCAGCCCCCGGGCCCCGGAGGGAGGAGGAGGAGGCAGGCCCAGCGTCCGGCGGCCCGGGGCGGGGTTGCCCCTCCACTGGCCAGTCCCGCGGGGTCCCCAGAACTGGCTGTCCCCCTGCCCACCGCTCAGCCCGGCCTCGGCCGGTGCCTTAGGCCCAAGGGTGCCTGTCCCCCAGTCTCAGCCTCCCCGAGGTTCGCAGATACATTACAACAAAATCACTAATTGGAAAATGAAATTGTCAATAAAGTAGCCCCCCCCACAGATACAATATCCTTAAATATTAAGATATTTTATTAGACCCATTTCCTAACAATAATTTATTGCAATAAAACAGACACCGCAGGTCCCCTTAAATTGTCTTTTCATAATGAATAAATTTAAGTGGGCTAATTAATATATAAACTAGCCCAATTTGTCAATTTGATTTGTATTTTAGTTAATTGTGAAAGTAATTACCACATGGTCAAATTAACAGCTTTCTGGAAATGACCAAGCCTGAGGTTTTATTTCCTTCCTGGGTGAAGAAAATTCATTTTTCCAAGCTCTTGATGTGATGAATAAAAGTCATAAATCTGGGTGATTGGTGCAGGCAGAGTCTAAATGGCTTCATATTTCATTTTAGGTTTAATAGAAATATTCATGCTCTGTTTTAATGAAATTAAATTGAGGGGGGATGGGGCCGGGAGGTGGCGGTGGCCGGGGCCTAAAGGGACGGTGCGCGCAGTCCTCCCCCCGGGGAGGGCCCGCAGCCAGGCCGCCTCCGCCGCCCGCCCGCCGCAGCTGCCGCCTTCGGGAGCCCAAGGCCCGGCCGGGCCGTGGGGGCAGCGACTCCAGAGCCCCAGCCCAGGGCGGCCCGTGCCCTCTCCCACGGCCGGCTGAGGTCGCTCAAGGTCAGGCCACCTGGGTGCAGGTGCGGTGCTGCCTCCGGTCACCACTCAGGCCCCAGCTGCCTGGGGAGGGCCAGGGCCTGCGTCCCTCTCCCCTCCGGGGCCTGGCGGGGACACGCGCAGAACAGGTGTTCTTGGACCGACACTTCGTGGGGCCCCCAGGGCCCTCGCTGCCCCCTCTGCCCCTGCAATACCCCGCTCGGCTCTCCGTCCTGAGCTCACCTCACCTTGAAGGTGGCCGGGAACAACCCGGGACCACCAGGGCCCCGGACCATCGCCCCAAAGCCTGGGCTACGAGGCCACTCCTCGGTCCTCAGAGAAAGTGGGGATGTCTTCAGACCCAGGAGCTTTGCCATATCCAATCCTGTCGCAGTTTGGGGGGGCACACGAGGTCTCCGGGGCGTCCCTGGGGGACCCCCAGGCCCCAGGATCATCCTGGCCCCGCAGCCCCCTTAATGGAGCTGATCTTGTGACTTGTTGATTTCCCCTGAGCAAATAAGGCTTTGATGCAGTTCCAGCCGGAGTGGTTAGCTGATGAATTGACAAAAACTAATCAGCTTTATTGGGAAACAGGTTAAGGGCGCGGGCGTGTCAATAATTCTCGGCCCGACCCGCTCATCCATTAAGCGCGGCAGGCTGATTAGAGTAGGAAGACCCTCTCGCGTCCTGCCCCGAAATTGCTTTCATAAACTCGCCATTATTAGCAGTCGGTGCAAGCAGCTCATTTAGAGAAGACACCGCGGGCGTGTCTCATCTATCACCCGGGTTTATGTATCATAATCTCATTTACAGAGTGTCGCAGTGTAATATGTGTTTTTGGCAACAGGCTTGGCCAGGCGCCTGGGCTGCGGCTCTTTGTAGCGGCACAGCGGGGGGCCTCCTGCCTCCCCGGACCCCCACCCCGGCCCGGGCGTGGGGGCGGCTGAGGACCGGAGCTGGGGGACGCTTCCCGGGTGGTGAGCCGGGACTGTTGGGAGCCGCCACACACACCCACACGCGTGCACACACGCAAGACTCTCACGGACGGTCGCACTGGCGCTCACGCCCCAGCTCCCTCCCCCGCTCCCTCCCCCGTGTGGCCCTGGCGAGAGGCCCAGTGTCAGGCTTTGCTCGGACCTCGGAGCCTGCCGGTTGGGAGTTCGAGGATCTGCCCCGCACCCCTCCCTCGCCCCCGCCCAGGAGCCCGGGCAGCCGCAGCCCGCTCAGCTGCACTCCTCGCGGGGCATGCGGCCTCGCTGGGCGCCGTCCAGGCCTCCGGGGACAGCCCCCTCCCAGAGGGCCTCTCGCCACCCTCCGCGGCTCCGAGGGCGGGGGGCCTGACCTTCCCTCTCCCGGGCGGCCGCCGTCCTCCCCTGGCGGCCGGGGCTCCGAGGCCCAGATGCGCGCGGCTGCTGGGAGCGGGCCACCTGTTCCTCGGTAATCAGTGTAATGGAAGGGCCCCGCCGCCGGCCCGCGCCCTGTTGCACGACAGACGGCGGAGGCCGCAGCCCCTCCGGCCTTTCACGGGGATTTCCCAGACGGGCTGAGGGGAGGCCGCGCGGGTCACCGGGGGCCGCTAACGAGTTCATTAGCCAAATGATACTGCCCGAGGCCGCGGGCCTGGAGAAGGAGGGGGCAGGGCGGGGGACGGGGTCCTCCCTGCCCCCCCTCCCCCTCCCCACCCCACCCCACCCCTCCACTCTCTCAGCCCCCAGCCCGGGAGGGGCCGCCTGCAGGAAAAGGGTGTCAGGCGGGAGAGGGCGCCCCAGACGCCGCAATCTCAGCGCCCACCTCCCGCCACCTGTGGCTCCGCGCGGAGGAGCCCCGCAGGGTCAAGGGCCGCGGAGGGGACTGGGGCTGAGCAGCGGCGGACCTGAGTCGGAGCCTGCGGGCCTTGGGCTGAGGGGTCGGGGGCACGGGGCCTGGGTTCCTCAGGGCCCGAGTGTGGGGTCCGTCTGCGGGAGGGGACACGAGTGTGCCGCTCACGGGGACCGGCTTGGGACAGCCTGGTGGTCCCTGGGGCTGCTGTGCGTGTCAGGGTGGGCGCGCAGGGTCTCCGATTCCCGCGGGAGGGAGGGAGGAGCCCCCGGCAGTTCAAACGGTGGGGTGGGCGGGGCTCCTCACGCAGCTGCCGCCCTCTCTCCCGCAGACCCCACCCCCACCAGCCCCAGGGGGGGCAAGGGCCCCCCCCCGCAGAACAGCCAAAATGTGCACACAGGACCCGGCCCCAAGCCTGCCCCAAGCCTGCGCTCTGTCCCTGGGCCTCCAACACGCACCTGCGGGCAGAGGCGGGGGCGGGCTTGGAAGAGGTGAACTTGACCGCAGGCACCGTTTGCCGTCTCGGGAGGAGACGCAGACCACTCTCGGGCGATCTCGTCCTCCCTCTCTCTCTCTCTCTCTCTCTCTCTCTCTCTCTGTCTCCCCCCTCCCCCTCCCCTCCCCCTCCCGCCCGCAGCCTCAGCTTCTGCCACCTCAGCAACTGCTAAATAGACCAATTAGTGGCGACTTCCTGCCATTACCCGCCGTGGAGCTGTACATTAGCGCGACTATCCAGCCGTAATTTCGCGGCCGACGGCACTAAAAAGTTCACGCGGCGAAGCGCGGAGGCGTCTGCGCCGTGTCTGTTGTTGTTATTTGTGTCCGTTCCCCGAGGACGCGCCCCAGCTGGGGTCAGCGGCCAGGTGGCCCCCGCCGCCCCCTGCCGGGGTGGGGAGGGGGGACGAGAAGGGGCCCGCGCAGCCTGGGCCGAAGCCGCCTACCTGCCCAGCTACGTGGAGCCCTGAGAAAGAGAGCCCTCCTGGAGGAGGGACACTTCCCGGTGTGCATGGGCCTCGGCTTTAAAATAAGTCACCCCCCCACGTCGGCTGGGGTGGGGGGGGCGGGGAGTCTCACTCACGGGGAACTGCAGGTCACAGCCGGGCTGGTTCTGAGAGGGCCCTCGGGCTGCAGCTGCAGAAGAAGCCGGCCTGGGCCGGGCGTTATAAACCTCGTTCCGAAGACAGGACGGACCTGCGGTGACAAAATGAAATGCCATCGAACCTCTCCCACAAAATGAGAGTCTTCTCCCAGAGGTGTTCTCTCTCCCCGTTGAGGGTGGTTGCCCCACAATGTGCTTGAAGGGGCTCGGACAAGCGGCCCCTTGCTGCCCGAGTCCTTGAGGGGGGCTGGGGTGTTCCCCCCACTCCTGGGGAACCTGGCTGGAGAGGCTCGGAGTGTCCCGGGTCGGAAGGAGAGCTGTGGACTAACTGGTGAGGACTCACCAGCTCAGCTCCCTGCCTGCAGGGCCCGGGCGGTGAGGCCCCCACACCAGGCCCAGACTCCCGGGGAGACCAGACCGCCCTGGGGCTGAGCATAGAACAAAAACATTTCGTGTCTGGAGTAATTTTCTAAAAATAGGGGGCCTGTCCGGTGGCCGGGTTTTTACTCATTGAAATCGTGCGGCCTCCCCTGGCCTTTACCAAACCAGCCGAGGGTCCCCGTGTGGGCAGGCCGTCCGTCCACAGCCAGGCCTGGGCCCGGGGCTGAGGGGGCTCCCCCAGATGCCGGGATGGTGGTGACGCGAACCCAGGCGTCAAGGTCGAGGCGGACAGGGAGGGGCCGAGGGGAAAGGCACCCAGCGCGACCAGACGTGGGGACGCGCTGAGAGGAAGGGGACCTCGGGTCGGAGCAGAGGCTCTGCTCTGCGGGCTCCCGTCCTCCCCTGACCCTTTGAAGGCCAGCGCAGGGGTCAGGGAGGAGGTTAGCAGATCAAAGCCTAAAGCTAAGGCCTCGACACCTGAAGCCCCCGCAGCTCTGCTGGGGGCGGAGACACCTGCGGGGATCCCCGCCCCTGTGCTCGCCCTCCGGTGACCCCAGCGGGCGCGCAGGTCCCTGCTCCGGGCGGGGAGCATCCTCCGCGGGGTTCCCCGCACCGGCTCTCCCCGGGCAGGGCCGCTCCGCACCCACGGGTCCGCACTGCCTCCAGCCAGCACCTTCGCTGGTGACACGGCCGCCTGGGGTCCGGTGCCACCGCCGCCCGAGCTCAGGCCCTGACCCCCGGCAGGTTGCGTAAGGCCCCAGAGCCCGTTTCCCGAAGGAAACCCCGAGAGGCTAAACGGCCGCCCAGTTTAACTGAAGGACACCGCCCCCCAGAACACGAGCTCAGCAGGTCAGGCCGAGTGAGCTGCGTGCAGCCCGGGGTGTCCGGCGTGGGAACCTCGGCTCCGGAACAGGTGGGAGGCGCCAAGGAGTCTCCCGCTCAGGGCGCAGCCACCGGCACCTTCCTGGGGCGCCGGGCGGTTACCCGCTCCGTGCACCTGCCCCACTTCACACGCAAGGAAGCGGCAGCACACGGCAAAGCCAATGCCTGTGTGCTACCTCTGACCCCGTCCACACACCCCTCGGCGCGTTTGTGTGGAAGAAGCTTCCAAACACGGAGGCTGCAGGGGGCTGGGTTTTGCACAGTGGAATGCGGCAGCATTCCCCTGACCTTTTAACAAATACGTAAATGCGCATTTCCCAACGGGACTGGGCATGCGACTGTTTGTATAACCCCCCGATTCTCCTCTCTGGGGAGTGGGAGAAAGGGCGGAGGCGGGAGCATTCGGAACCCCGGAGGAAGACCGTCTGGAAGAGAAAGGAAGGGCCAGGATGGGAGCCCGGCTGCCGGAAGTCACACCAGGCCTGCGGGGCTGGAGGCCGCCCTGGGCCAAGGGCGAGAGGAGCCACCGGAGGGAGCCCCGGGGCGGCCCTCTCGCTGGAGCAAGCCCGTGGTCTCCCACCGCAGCGCGCCGGGCTCTGGCCTGCCTCCCATCTTCAAAGGCAGCTGGGCTGGGCCAACGCAGAGGCCGGAAACTGGAAATGGGAAGGCCCCCCCGCCCCCGCCTCCGGCCTGTGCCCCCCCTCACCACACTCTCTTCCCGGGCGGTGAACCCCACAAAGGCCGCACCTTCCCAGACCGCTCCCTCTGTCCCCGCGCAGCGGCACAGCGAGAGCCTCCAACACTATTCACGCCTTCTTGACCTCTGCATGGTCCCACGGAAGCCCCTGAGTGCCCCGGAGTCCACGGGGTCTAACGCGGACTTTTCTAGACAAAGAAATAGAAATTCACCAGAATAAAGGAGTGTGGACATCCAGGGTGGCCCTGCAGTTGGAGGGCCAGCCGGGACTGGCCATCCTGGGCAGGCCCAGTCCTCTGCGGTCACCTCCCTGGGCCCCGCCCGTGTACGGGGGAGGGGGAGAGGGGCGGGGGGTGGGGGGCTAAACCAGGTGAATCTGAGCCTGGGCTTCCTGTCTGTGCGCCTGGAAGTGCTCGCAGCTTGACTGGCGGTGGGGGGCACAAGAGGGGGGGGGGGGTTTTCGTCATTCGACAGCACCCTGCGGTGGGACGAGGGCCGTGGAGGGAGCCCCCCGGGAGTCATAAAACACAAGGGCTTTGTTGAGGGAGGGGGTGCTTGGTGAGCCTGGCCTGCTCACCCGTCCCCAGAGGAAAGGGCCTGGGGCCCTGGCAGTGGCCGCTCTGGGGGAATTTGGTGGGCAGTCACTCCCCGCCCCCAGCCTCCCCGGTCTGGTCGGTGGGTGGCAGCCCCCGGGACCAGCGGACCTGTCCCAGCAGACAGACAGTCGGAGGGAGAGGTGAGGAGACCCCGAAGGCCTGTGGGCCTAGGAGCTCAGCTCTCCGTGTGGGTGTGTGTGTGGGGGGGGGTCACAATGGCTCTCTCTCGAAGGGAGGCCGATGACGCCTTTCTGAGAAGGATGAAGGGCTTCCTGCTTGGACAGGTGGCTCTCAGCATCGCAGGCCTCTGCAGAGCCCCTCTCCCCCCAGGGCACCGGGCCGGGGGCGAAGGGGACACCGGGGTGGGATGCTGGAGGGCCGAGCCGGGAGCGGGTGGCCCCTGCAGCCACACCTGGGCCCAGTCCCAGTTCTGAGGCTGAACAGGTCGCTGGCGAGGCCAGTCTCAAACCGCGCTGGCCCTGCCCTCTATGAAATGGAGACTGAGGGAGATGATTCTAGAAAGCTCTTGGGCACATAGAAATGGGTGTGTCCCCTGCTTGCCGCGTAGAGGCTGCATTTTTATTTCCTCACAAAGATGTCATCGGAAGACAGAAACCCCCCGTAAACGCTGTCTTTCCCGTCTGCAAGGCGACGACGCTGGGTTTGCAGCGCTGCCCGACAGTCGCTGCAGGTCACGGTGGCCCAGGGCACCCTCCCAGTCACCAGCCACCCCTGGGTGTCTCTGAACCACCCGCCTGTCAGGACAAAGAAACACGACTCCCAACCAAGAACCCCTGCAACTGACTCTCACAGAGGTAACAGGCCTTTTGAGGGAAAACAACACAGTCCCTACACAGTATTATATTACCTTTGGGAAAAAAAAATCCCTCCTGTGGCAACCGGACCTGCTAATTTTGCAGCGTTCCTGGCTCAGAGTGCGTCCCGCGCTCTGCCCCCCCCCCACCCCCAGGCCCTGCCTGCCCTGCGTTCACCTCTCAGCGGCCCGGGAGCCGGGCTTCCAGAACCTGACCCCCGGACCCAGCGTCCCCACACCTGTCTCGGGAGGTAGCTGGCTCTAATGGCGCTATTGACAAAGCCCAGTGTTGGGGTTACCTGCGCGGTGATTCCTTCCGCGTAGAAAAGCCCTTGTGAGTGCTTTTACTGTAAATATTTGAGACATGGGGGATGGGTGGGAGAGACGGGCCTGGATTCTCACGCCACTACCTTGCCCAGCCTTCCGGCCGGTTTCCCAGGACGCACGCTGCAGCCAGGAGAAGGACACCCACAGCGACACCGGGCCTGGGTCAGCGCGACCAGCCGCTGGGCAACGCCTGCCCCCCAGGCGGAGGCAGGCCCAGTGTCCTGTCAGCCCCAGGGGATCCCCTGGCAGAGGGGAGGAAAGGGCTGCCACCGCGGACCTGCTGCATGCGAGGGCGGCAGGTCTCCAGGCCGACCCGGGCCTGCAGGCCGCAGGCGTGCAGACGCTGCCCTCTGCGCCCGGGCCTGGCAGGGGCTCGCGGCGACTTCTGTGGAGGACCGCAAACTGACGCGCACAGGCGGAAGGACGCGCCCCACACACGACCCCTGAAATGCACAGCACTCCCCAGAGGAGGTGAGAAGGCTCCACCTGCAGAGGACTGGAGACAGGGACACAAACCGCTCCTGCGCGCCGCGGACACCCGGGAGCGAGGCTTGGGGACCCGGGTGGGCCTTCTCTGCGCTGCAGCCTCTGAGCAGGGCGGCTGGCTCTGGAAGCAGCGTGGGCGCCCGGACGCAGCAGTGGACAAACTCCCCCGCTGGCGAGGCGGCGGGAGAGGACGCGCTCTGCTGGCCCTAGGGGACGCGGGCCCAGAGCGGGAACGAGTGTGTCTGGGAGTCTGGAGTTTGGCAGCCATCGGGGGGTACCCCGGGCACCCGGGGTTGCCAGTGCTCGTCGCCCTGCTCAGCACCCCAAGGGAAGCGAGCGGAGACCCTGGGTTGCGCCTCGGAGCTCTCCAACCCCTGATCGCTGTCTCCTCCCCGCCACCCCAGTCGACACCCCGGGCTGTTTAGGACCCCGCGGCGCAGGGGCGGGGCGGCGGGCGGCCGCGACGGTGACAGGTGCGCCCTTCGACCAATGGCCGGGCCGGCGCCCCTCCCCGGGCCCCCCCGCGCGCGCCAATCCGCAGCCGCGTTGCGCTTCAAGTGCGCGCAGGGGCGCGGGTCCCCAGCACGGCGCCAGCGGCCTCCGCCCGGCGCCCCAGCACTCGCGTGGAGTTTGTGCGAGCGCGTGGGAGCGCGGCCGGGGCGGGGCCCTCGCGGAGGAGGCTCTGGACATGGTCACTCTCGGCTGAGTTTCCGGCGGCGACTTTGATTATTGGCAAATAATCATCGTAACAACACCGAGCCCTCGGGCTTGCCACGCCACGCACAGACTCCGCGCCACCGCACACGGCCGCGTCACCCGCCACCCGGCCCCGACCGCCAGCCCCTCCCGAGCCGATGGAAAAATCCAAAAATTTCCGCATCGACGCGCTGCTGGCGGTGGACCCCCCGCGAGCGGCCTCGGCGCAGACAGCGCCGCTGGCCCTGGTCACCTCGCTCGCGGCCGCCGCTTCTGGCCCGGGCGGCGGCGGGGCGAGCAGCGGGGCGAGCGGCGGCTGCAGCCCCACGTCCTCGGAGCCGCCCGCGGCGCCGGCCGACCGCCTGCGAGCCGAGAGCCCGTCGCCGCCGCGCCTGCTGGCCGCGCACGGCGCGCTGCTGCCCAAGCCAGGATTCCTGAGCGCGGGCGGCGCCGGCGGCGGGCCCGGGGCGCCGCACCACCACGCGCACCCAGGCGCCGCCGCCGCCGCTGCCGCCGCCGCCGCCGCGGGGAGCCTGGCGCTGGGGCTGCACCCAGGGGGCGCGCAGGGCGGCGCGGGGCTCCCGGCGCAAGCGGCGCTCTACGGCCACCCGGTCTACGGCTACTCGGCGGCAGCGGCGGCGGCCGTCCTCGCCGGCCAGCACCCGGCGCTCTCCTACTCGTACCCGCAGGTGCAGGGCGCGCACCCCGCGCACCCCGTCGACCCCATCAAGCTGGGCGCCGGCACCTTCCAGCTGGACCAGTGGCTGCGCGCGTCCACCGCGGGCATGATCCTGCCCAAGATGCCCGACTTCAACTGTGAGTGCCGCGCGGCCCTCGGGCCCGGGGAGGGAGAAAACTCGGGGTAGGGGCTCCGGGCAGACGGTTCTCTCGCGCTTCCATCCGCCTCCACCGGGCACCGCCCTCCTCTGGCTCTCCGCTCCGCCGAGGTAGCTCTGCCCGCGCCTCGCTCTGCCCGGGGCCTGCGAGGACTCGTGCGGGCCGCGCGGTGCCGGATCGGCAGCGAGTTATTAAAATGGCCACGCGCGGACCTTGCCTTCTCTCTCTCTCTCTCTCTGTCTACGGTTAGAGGCAGCTGGAGGAGTGAGGCTGAAATCTAATGATTAACCGGCAGGCCGGGGGAGAAGGAAGTGGACGGGGAAGGAGCGGCTCTCGGCGTCCTGCGTTGGGCGGGCCTGGGGGTCGGGAACCGGGCGCTCCCATCCCGGGAGACAGGCGTGACTTCGCCCCACATTCCGGGGTCCGGAGAGACCCCGGTCCCTCCCAGAGGCAGGGAGAGCGCCGCGAGCAGCCGGAGGTTCGCGGGCTCTGCGACGCCAGGGCCTCCGGGCCTTCCCCGCGCTCTCCCTGCCTCTGGAAGGGCACTGAGTCCAGGGTGCGAGCGGAGAAGGCGGCTGGGCGGACTTGACCCCCGCGGGGACGCACGGCCCACTTGGACGGGGAGAGGCCCCTCCTTTAGGGACCCCACCACAGGGACTCTATGCGGCAGGTGCCCGTTTTGAATTGGGGGTGCCGGGCACAGAAGCAAACCTCCTCCCCTAGGTAGGAGAGAGGGAGGGCCGGCCGCCTCCAGCACCGAGAACCGGTGGACGGGGAGCCATGTGCCCGCCATCTCCCGGGGCGGGACAACCGGCCCAGGCCCGCCCTGGCTTTCCGGCTCCGGGGGCTGCCTGCTGTGGAGAGTCTGGGTCTCCTGGCCACCCCACCCGCGAGGCTCACAGGAAGATGCATAAGGGTTGTGCTTCCAGCGCCCGACACCCAAACAAAGAGACCCCATTGTTTCTGTCTGAGTGGGTTTGTTTAGACTGAGGAGATGCAGGCAGGGCAGAGGGAGAAAGCCACAGAGAAAACAGAAATAAACACGTGCCAGGACTCGGATCCCCCTGTCGGAGGCCGCGGCTGGGGCTACACAGAGAAGAGCCGGCCCCCGAGGGCTGCAGGAGTCACAGCCCCGTGAGAAACCCCGGCCAGGCCGCTCACTGTTTGCCTGCGGCCGCCTGGCCTCCCTGCCCGGCTCTGCTCCCGCCCTTCCCACTGGGGAGCCGGCCACTCCCCCGTGAGCCCCAACAAAGGAGAGGGAAAGCTCCCTCTCACCTCTCTGGGGGGGGGGGCTGCCGCCTCAGACACAGGTGGTCTCCGGTCAGCCAAACCCAGGGTGCGCCCGGGGGCCTGGTGCCCAGCACACCCCTTCTCGTGGAGTTCTCCTTCCGACCCGCCTTTCCCCAGAGCCTGGGACGCACAGCCCCCCACTGTGGGGGGGGGGAGTCTTGGTTTCCACACTGGCCCCCAGGGGTGCTGGGTGCCGAAGCCCCCCAGCCGCTGCCTCCGGCCTTCAGGGAGCCCAGGGTCACCCGGGAAACTGCTCAGAGCCACGTCCCTGCGCCAGCGCACTTCGCTCATCTCCGGCTCCAAATCTTGACCCCGAGGCGGCCGACGGGACGCCCCGGCGGCTCGCAGTCCAGAGAGGAATGCGGGCTCGAGCCCTGGGGGGCCGTCCGGAGCCGGCTGGGGTGTGGAATGTACGTGGGGCGCCTCTGCGGCCGCCGGCCGGAAAGACCCGTTCGGTCCCTTTCATCGGCCGGCCGTCTCTGCTGTGGGACAGCATTTCCCAAAGGGTCCCTCCGGAGCCCGGGTTTTAATTAAAGTCGTCCCGCATTGTCGAGGTGGGAATCCGGGCCTTGTTTGGCTTAAAGCAGGGGGCGGGGGCCTCCCATAAAGCAAATTGCCCTTCCCGGGGGAGCCGCTCCCCCGCGGCCGGCCGGCCTCTTTTCTTCTCTCTCCCCTTTTATTGTCGGACGCCGGTCGGGCCCCTGGGAAATCAAGGGAAGTCTCGTTGTGGAGCCATAAAACTCCCTGTGCTGCAACCGCGTGGGATCGTGTAAATAAAGTGGGGGATCCCCTTCAGGGCCCGGAAAGCAGAGTGTCCCCGGCCCCGGTCTTTCATTTGCATAATGAGAATCCTCCGGAAAAGGAGTCCAGTCTCCTCCAAAGTCCAGTCCCTCCGCACCCGCGCCCTGGGGGCGGGTTGTCAAGAAAACATTTTCAAGGAGGGAAGGTCTCTGCTTAACACTCCCGTGCAGGGCCAGGGTTAGTCCCTTCCTTCCTCCCTTCCTTTCACTCCTTCCCTTTCTCCTCCACCCTTTGCACTTAAGGAGCCTGCACAGCCCCCGGCTGGGGAAGAAGCGGTGATTCCGGGGAGGCCGTTTGGATCTCGGCCTGAGTTGAGGGAGGCGGGTGAGGAGTGGGAGGGGGTGCATCCTTCAGGCCTCTGCTTCTGGCCTTTGCGACCCTTCTTTCTGCCAGCGCCCCCCTCCCCCCAGGTGGGGAGGGTGTACCTGGGCAATAGGCTCTTCTGAATCAGACACCCAGGCCCCAAAAGGTCGGGCCCCATCGAATCTGAGCCGGCCGGTTGCACCCAGCCTCCGGGGCCTGGGCTGCCGCTGACCGGGCCCCTGGCGAGGGGCCGCTGGCGTTGAGGGGAGAGGTGTCCCGCTGCAGGCCCCGAGTCGGGGACCCTGGGGTGGGAGGGCAGCCCGGCTGCGCCTCCTCACGCCCGCCCCCCCCCCCGCCGCCGCCCCCGCAGCCCAGGCGCAGTCGAACCTGCTGGGGAAGTGCCGCCGTCCCCGCACGGCCTTCACCAGCCAGCAGCTGCTGGAGCTGGAGCACCAGTTCAAGCTCAACAAGTACCTGTCGCGGCCCAAGCGCTTCGAGGTGGCCACGTCGCTGATGCTCACGGAGACCCAGGTGAGCGAGCTGCCCGCCCCGGCGCCCGGCACCTCCCGGCCTCGGGGGCACTGTCCCCTCTGCACCCCACCCTGCGGCCCGCCTCGGAGCACCCGGATTTGCTCCCTTCCCGCCGTGGGGTGTGGGTCAGTGTAGGGGAGCGTGCACGGGCCGGCCGGGCCAGGACTCAGCCTCTGCGCCCCGGGGTCTCACTGGGTAGGTTGGGGCGAGGCCCAGGGAGCCGCATTTGCACGCCCCTGCCCTTCCGGGCCCTGAAGCAGGGGCCCAGGCCACCATCAGAGACAGTCTGTTCCAGAGAGAGAGAGCAGGGAACGTCTTGAGATCCGCAGCCTCGCACAGCTGCCCTGGCCTTCCTCTGCAGAACCGGGGTGCTCCCCCCACCCCCCACCCCCGCCCGGTCGGGGTCTCCAGCCCGTGCCCGGCTCCGGGTAGGAGCGCAGCGGCCCCTGGAGTGGGAGTCCTGCGGCCTGAACCTCGCTCGCGGCGGGGACTCGGGACGGAAGGGGGCGGAAGGGAAGGGGGCAGCGTCTGACCGGCCCCTGTGCCCGCAGGTGAAGATCTGGTTCCAGAACCGGCGGATGAAGTGGAAACGCAGCAAGAAGGCCAAAGAGCAGGCGGCGCAGGAGGCGGAGAAGCAGCGGGGCGGCGGGGCGGCGGGCAGAAGCGGCGCGGCGGCGGCGGAGGACCCGGGCGACGAGGGGCTGCTGCTGGGCCCGCCGGCGCCTGCGGACAAGGGCGGCGCGCGGCGCCTGCGGGACTTGAGGGACAGTGACCCCGAGGACGACGAGGACGACGAGGACGAAGACCATTTCCCCTACAGCAACGGCGCCGGCGCGCACGCCGCCTCCTCCGACGGCTCCTCCGGGGCCGACTCCCCGCCCCCCAGGCCGGGGCACCAGCCCCCGCCGCCCCAGTAGGACCCGGGCCAGCGGCGACGGGCACGCAGGGATGCCTGGACGCCGCGGCCTCGCGCCTTTCTCGGCCCCCACCGCCGGGCCCCCAGGTCCCGCTGCGCCCTGGGGGGGGGGCGCTGCCCGCGTGGGCCGCAGCCCCGCTCTGCCCTTCCGTGGACAGAGAGGCAGGCCCAGACGGGCTCCGACTCCAACTCTTGTTCTTATCGGTTTAATTTAGGGTAGTGTTGGGGGGCGGTGTCTGCGAGGAGAGCCGGAGCCGCCAGGGGCGGCCTCCCAGCGTCCCCGCCCGGAGCGGACAAGGCGGAAACCTACAGTGTTAAACGGCCTCGAAACTTGAAACCTTCTCTGGAAACGACATTCTGCTGAGTCCTGAAAAGAGGGGAAAAAAAAATGTTTTGTGCTTATGTATCTTAGCGGGGAAAACGATGTCGTGGGCGCGCAGACTGCTGGGAATCTCCAAACCGCACTGTCTTTATTTTTGTACATTGTATTTATATGTAAAGAAGAAACGTCTACCTATGCATGCTAAATTATTTAGCTCCTCCCATCGTCCACGGTGGAATGTAAAATAAATTGGTTTTTTACTGGATCCGCGTGCGGAGGGGTCTCTGGCGGGGGAGTTGTGGCACCGCCGCGGCAGTTTCTGTGGTGGAGGGTGGTGGCCCCCGCCCTCCCCGGGGCGGTTCCCAGCGGGAGGTGAGACCCCGGGCCTCGGCTCGCAGCCGGGTGTGAGGACCGCCTCCTCCTTCTGGGCCCTGCGCGGGCGGGGAACTGGATTCCGCTGCCCGCGAGCCGCAGGTGCGAAGTGCCGGGAAAAGCACCTGAGGCCAGGTGTGCGCGTGTCCGGATGCCTGGCTCGCATCTGTCCCGGAGGCCGAACCCCAGGAGAGCGACTCGGGGCCTCTGTGTGTGTGTGTTTTCGGGCTTCCTCGAGGGTCGTCTGGCTTCCCCCGCGCTCCCGAAACGGAAACACCCTCTGAGGGTTCAGAGAAGAAGCCGGGCTGGCCCCTGGGGGTCGGTGTGGCGGGGAGCCCGCCAGCGCGCGTATCCCCCACGGGGTCGCGGAGGGCTGCGCTTCTCCCGCCCCAGCGAGGAGCCTCCCGAGCGCCGGCCCGGACCGGTTTCCTGGGACCTGCGCGCAAAC